CCAGTGAGGAAATCCTGCAGAGCCTGCTTACCCTCCCCTGCGTCAGGCTGGGGCTGAACCTTTGTCTCCTCGTCCTGTAGCCGACAGACAGCAAATGAGCCAAAACCTTAATTTCCCTTTAAAAGTAAATTTCTCCCCCGACTCCCAGTGGTTCCTATCCCAGCTCCGTCCCGCCGGGAGGAACGTGCAGACCGCAGCCATCCGCCGCGTCCTCAGCTCTGGCTTTGCTAGACTAAACAAGCCGGGCTTTCCCGGTTTCCTCCCGTGCTGAACTCCACTGGGTCTTGGCCAGCCCTCTCCTTGCCTCGGCCCCTAAACCACTGAGCCAGGACCCCCCATTCCATGTATGGGGGGAGCCCCAGGCCACAGTGGGGTGAAATACCCAAGGGTAGAGGGGGGGACCTGGGCCAGCACCCTGTCCCTGAGCCCTTGCATCCTTGGCTACCCTGGCCATGGCAACATCCCCATCATGGCCAGGGAAGGGGAAGGCACCCATGCCTGGTGGGCACATGGGCAGCTCCCCGGTCCTTTGGGGATCCACCCAGCTCAGGTGCTACAAGGCCTTCCTGGAGTCAGAGTCACAACGGGGCACATCCCCCTCCCCAGCACCCCCATCCCAGCCTCCCTCCGCCGCGGTGACATCTGGCAGACCCAAAAGAAAAGCCCAACTTTGGGAGCACTGCCCTGCAGACCCTGCAGCTCATCCTTGGCTTTGGAAAACTCCCTTAAACTGAGGTCTAAAATAAAACACAAGCCACCAAAGCCCAAATTTTATACCCAGCATCTGCTGTTCCCTGAAGACCCCTGCAGCTGTTGTGGGATCGCACCCAAACTCAGCTTTTCCAAAAATCCCATTTTGCACATTAAAACCCTGATGCAATTTGTGCCGGGCTTTGCGGAGGTTCCTCCCCCTCCCCACGGATGCTCGGGGGACTGGCCGGCCTCGGCACGTCTGGGCTCACGCGGGGGCACGGGGCCCCACGGAGGTTTTTCCCTGTCGGAGCAGTTTCCCTCTCCGCCTCCAACTTTCTCTTTTTCCATGAATTCTTCGGCCTCCCCCCGCACCACCGCTTCGTCTGCCAATGCAAACCCAGACGTCGCCGCACACATCTGCGCACATCTGGGCTCACGTTACCAGCCGCGCAGGCTTGGGATAATCCAGCTGGGTGCTTTTAATCATCTGGTCCGTTTATTATTATCATTTTTTTTTAGCCGTTACCTGGCTCAGACCGCTCAAAGCCAGACGCTGAGGTTGAGCAGAGCGATGCCGCCTGGAAAACGCCGTGTGAGGCTTTAACATTGGCCGCTTGCACCTTCCTTCGTCAAAGCATCGACCCCTTCCAGCTCCGTTTGGAGACATCCTGGGAAAATCGGCTGCCAAATTCCTCGTCAGCCGGTGGCTGCGTGCCCCTGCCTCCCACCGTGGTGGCCTCGCCGCTTTCCTGTCCTACCCCAGGGCGCATCTCAGACGCCGTAAATAGGACTCAGCCATAAACTGTAGGTTTTTATGGGCCAGCAGGCAGTTTTATTAGGTTAATTATGCTGCCATGCTAATGAGGGCGCAGTTAAGCGCAGTCAAAAACCAAGGGCTGGCTTGACCTTCTCCCAAAGATTGATGTGAAGGTGGGAGGCAATGGGTGCTGGTCACGGGGAGGTGCTGGGTGCTGGCCGCCTGGTGATGGGGCAGCAAACCCCCAGCAGCTTCCAGCTTCGCTCAGCACCAAGGGGTGCCCAGGACAGAGCAACCCCTGTGTCCTTAGCGCAGTGACCCAGCGTACCCCCACCCAGCCCACCCTCATTTCGGAGCTCAAACAACTCCCTTGTAGCTTGAACAAACACCTTAATCCTCAGAGGCTTTGAGAACACCCGGTTATCTGATGGTGTTTGCTCCTCCCAGCTGGGTTCGGGCCAGCGCCCCCCTCCTCTTGGCTCCTTGCTTGGCTGCCCGGGGCTTTTTCACAGCAATTTTGATTTGATCTTATTAAATTTGGAGCAGAACAGCAAGCGCGGGCAATTAGACAGAGAATTAAGGAGCAGCTCGTTGCACAAGAGGAGCTGCCAGGACCTCCCCTCCCCGAAACGCGCTGGCGGGGCGAGTGGTGCCGTGCCTCTCGCCAGACAGGTTCCCGGCACGGCTCGGCCGATTCCTCCCTGCAACTGCAGCGTTTTAACGTGCCCGGAGTCTTTTCCAGACGAGTTTTTTTCCTTGAGACGGTGATCCCTTCCCAGACTTTGTCCCACCTGGAGACCCCATTTCCCATGTGTTCCTCAGCTGTCCCATGGGTTGGTTTCTGTTTTGTAGCCTTCCCTCCAAATCACACAGCTCTGATTCCTCACTGGGTTAAACTGGGGTAAACTGGTGCGATTTTCTTGTAGCCAAGAAAGTCAAACTATCTTCTGCTTGTGCCTGATCATCTGGCCCCAGTGAAGGTTGCTGGGCTGTTATGGGCACCTAGGAAAGAGGGATGGGTGTTTGGAGGCTGGAGCCATGGGCCCAGCCCAGTTGGGTGGGGGTCAACAAGGCCAAGGGCCGGGTCCTGCCCTGGGGTCACCACAACCCCACGCAGCGCTCCAGGCGTGGGGCAGAGGGGCTGGAAAGCTGCCCGGCGGAAAAGGCCCTGGGGGGGTTGGTCGCCAGGGGGCTGGATAGGAGCCAGCAGGGTGCCCAGGTGGCCAAGGGGGCCAGCGGCATCCTGGCTTG